CTCAAAGGGGCTAACCTAGATCAGTCATTGTGATTTTTTTTTTTTGGTCTGCTAAATGGCTCAGTTGATATTATAAAATATTTTTGTTCTTTCTTGGAGTCAGACAGACTTGTTCTTTTATAGGACTTAAGTCTTGCGATCTCTATTTCTGCTACTGAATTGCCGTTGAATGAGACTATTTCCTTTTGACATCTCTTTGACATAGAGCTCTATGTAGAGCACGTGTAACCACATTGAAATTCCTTTAGCCACTAAGTTTTCATAAGTCACCTTGAAATCACTGTTTCCCAGCCAGTTACTGGATTAACATTACAGTGACATAATGTAGTTGAACATGAACTGAGTCCCTTTCAGCACTATTTCAGTCACGGTAAAGTGGCCAGTCTTTGACAGTGACCAAGTGTTAGTATTAATCAGTGCCACTTAATGGATGCAGCTACTGTGGTGTAGATTGGGGGGCTGAGAACCTATACCATTAGACGAAAATTTGGATTTCAGTATCACCACAGACCTTCATAAAATTCTATCAGTTTTTGGCATTTGGAATACTCTTTTCATGAAATTTGCACCTCTCCTTACTTTGCTTTCCAGTATTTGCTCATTTAGTTTGCCTATAGTTGACATTATTTCCTTCATTAAGAACAGGACAACAGGACAACCAAGTAAGGCAATACTGGAGATGATGGAAAGCAGACAATTCCAAGAGACACTTAAAACACAGTATCTAGACTCCTAAAATTGATGTTAAAACCATTCTTACTACTATTTCACCTATCTCTTTTTATTACTAGCTCACACAGATAAAATATATCACTGATTTTTTTCTTTTTTCCTTTTTAGATGTATTTTACATGATTCTTCCCTTTTGTACAATGCACTCTTTCTCCTTTCAGGCATAGTCCCCGCAAAATTCCCATCACCAATTCACCTGTGCACCAATCACCATAGTCCCTTGTGTAAGAACAGATTCCTTCCCCTGTTTTGATCCCTTTCTCTCCCCCACCCCCTGCAGTGTGTCTCTGACTAATAGTTGCCTGTTAATTTTGGTTTTTTATTATAATTATTTCTTTTTCTTGGTCCCTTATTTGGTTTCCCTACATTCTCCCTGTAAGTGAAACCATCTGATACTTTTCCTTCTGGCTTATTTCACTGAGCATAATCCCTTCTAGCTCCATCCATGTTGCTGCAAATGGCATTACTTTATCTTTTTTGATTGTTGAATAGTATTCCATTGTGTATCTATACCACATCTTTTTGATCCAGTCATCTATTTTGGGGCATTTGGGTTGTTCCCATGTCTTGCCTATTGTAAGTAGTGCTGCAGTAAACATAGGGGTGCAGGTATCCTTTTGAATTAATGTTTTTGTGTCCTTGGGTAGATTCCTAGCATCACTGATTTTTTTATAAGTCCTTTAGACTGATTTTGTATCCTATCTGATATGTATGAGCTCATAGTATTACCTAATAAGATGTATCTTGTCAGGCTTCAGATAATACCAGAAACTGAATTGAAATGATTAGTGGCTAGTTCTGTTAATATGACAACTTTCCTAGCTTTTGTTCAGCTTTCTAACTTGCTTTTTTTTCTTCCTTGGTTTGTCACTGTAGATAGGTGAGGACACTCACTTGGTAATTAACTCCCTTGATGACATTTTCCTGTTAGTCACTCATGCCCATCACTGTGCTATTACCTTTGTCATATTTTCAGAGGGAAGATGCTGATCTTTCTTAGAATCTTTTTCAGTCAAGAAGAAAGGTACTGAATAAAGTCTAAATAATTTTGCTGGTTAGAAAGCATATATGAGATTGTCTTTTCCCTTTGTGCTCAGGACATAGCACAGTTAGATGACCCTTTATATTTCTGGCAATGTGTCTCTAACTCCCTTTGGATCCTATTTCCAAGAGAATAGTTCTTGACTCTGAGTCGCATGTGATATACTGAGCATAAACAAAGGAGTTATCAGAATTGTCCTTCAATTTGATCTGTAATTTTGAATAAAATTGACAAAGTATCGTGGGTGGTGGGGAGCACAATCTGATCTTTTATAGCTAAGTTAATGTTTATTTAATACTCAAAGATAATGAATGAATGAAATCTAAGAGAATGAGTGCTATAAATGGGTTTATTTTCTCGGGAAATAACACTACCAGTGAGTGCCTTTTCTCAGTGCCTTTTTTTCACTTTAACATATTTGATAAAATTGCTGTTTATCTCCTGGTGTGTTTTTTCTTTCTTATCATTGACTGCCAACCAGATCCATAAAGAATTCATCTCTTTCAAGCTTGGATTGTAAACCTGGTCATAGGGAGGAAAATGGTTGAGCAGAGAAGAGATAAGACCATCAAGAAGCCATAAAAACAGATCAAAACATCAAGACAGATGAGACGTTTTGCATCCTTCCCTACCTTGGAAAGGGTTTTTCTTTCTACTTACGTTCTAGCTTCCTTTTTATTCATGCATTAGCTCCAAAATCACTTCTGAATAGATGAATCTTGTATGATTCCAAATACTAGTTAGTTTTCAAAGGCAGTGGTTTTCAACCTTGTCTGTACATTAGAATCACTTGAGGAATTTTTTAAAATTCTGATGCTCAGGCTGTACCCCAGAACAACTAAATCACTATCTCTGGGGGTGAGATCAGGCATCAGTATTTTTTAAGGTAACACCCCGCACACACAAACTATACACATAGATGGTTGATTGCATTGTGTAGGTATGGAACACAATTTAAAGTAATTACTCTTAGAAAGTTTGTGCTTAGTATAAGAAACCTCTAGGTTTTTTTTTTTTTTTTTAAAGATTTATTTATTTATTCAAGCACTGGGTACAGTCAGAAGCACAGGAGGGTGAGAGAATTCACTAGAGCCCGAGCAGGGAGCAGAACAGGCAGAAGTACCAAAGAACACCGCTGAGGGGAACAGCGGGCGGCAGGAAAGGTCTGCGTGCCATGTGGGACCCTCGTCCAGCCACTGGGGATCGACCCGGTGCTGCAGAGGCTGTGGGCGGCTTCGCAACCCAGCACTCAACTGCTGCGCCACTGGGGAGGCCCAAAACCTCTAGGTTTTTATGAAAGAGAAATTAGAACTAAAGATGCCCCCCATAGTCAGCCTGCCTTTGCAATCTTATTTTCTTTATTGACTTTTTTAAAAAATACATATCTATCCTGTTACCCAGTTGAATTAGACTCATTCTTCTTGATGTTTCCTTTAGCCTTTGTTTATGCTATTTGAGAAATAATTCTTTCCCCATTTTGCTTTTTTTAATCTCACACACCACCCCTTTGAATCTTCTTTTTATTATCTTTTAAAAGGAGGCTTTTTCCTTCAGAACTTTCCCTCTCTGCTCTAGTATATTCTGTGTGGTTTTATGTTCATGTTTCATTTCTCATACTAGTTCGCAAAGCCTAGCTCTTATTCATCTGTGTATTCCCCCTATTGCCTCATATTTTTGCATTCCCCATCATGTCTTATATCTAGTTTATATTATTACATAAAAGTTTCAATAAAAAGGAATTTTATGCTTTTCAGGTGTCATGCTGCAGATGTGTGCTATTCTAGAATCAGGAAGAAAACAGTTGTGTAATATTTTTTAATTTGCTTTCATCATTTCCAATTATTTAAATTTTTGGTTGTAATTGCATTTTTTGTTTGTTTACCAATGTGATTTTCATCCATGTCCAACCAGGAGGGAGAGAGGGTTGGAAATGTTCACTCTGCAATTTGGAGTGCTCTGTTGTAGTGCAGAGCATGCTTATTAATGCCGGTTGTGAAGCACCTACCAGGGTTACTTTTTGTTATAGTGGAAACAGAATTTAAGCATAGGTTTCACTCACAATTTTTCAATATAGATTATTTTTTAAATTTTATCAACCTGTTTTTATATCTGTTTTATGTGTTTGTTCATTCAGAAGATAAATAAAACATCTTACCCAAACCCTAAGGCCAAAACAGTTTTGATACAATTACAGCACAAAGATCTGACTAGATGGTAAAGGAAACTGTTTTGTGGAAGGCACTTGGTGATTCAAAAGGGAATTTTAGATACTCAGTGAGAATTAGGGGGGAAGCAAATATAGAACTATAACAAACAAAACAAAACAACACAGGTGGTTTTTGCTATATATACAGCACCATTGGTTGTGTGTATGTGCATTTTATGTTTCTTCATACCAGCTGTTTTCATCCTAAGTTCTTCTTGAATGCTTTTATTATGGAAAATTGACTTCAGAGTGAAATATATGAGCCCTTAAGAAAAAAAGGCCAGATTAAGATTATGTGAATTATTTTCCTAAGTAAGTTAGTAATTCACACAGCTGAGTTAGTCTAATTCCCCAATAGTTAGCACCATTTAAAATGATCTGCACTGAATAAATAACAGCACTTCTTAGTAATACAGACAATAAGAAATTTGAAGCATTGCATGCCTTTCTACTTCTTCCCCAGATAGGATAGCCTCCTATCTCAGATGTTTTCTTTCTTAAGAAAGTTCTAAACTCTAAAAATCATTTTATTCCACTTAAAATTTTTAAAGTTTGAAATTGTTAATGCAGTACTAGTTCGATCTTACCTCAGTGGGGCAGCAGGAAGCACATGGTAGTTTTTCTCTGCTTTCCCTCCCCGGACCCCTCCCCCAAGTTTCTTTTTACATTAAAAAAAAAAAAGCATGACTGCTTGGAGATAGAGTTTCTTGGACTACGCAAGTGCTTCAAAGCCTGTATAGGTTTTATACAGAAAAGATTGGATCTGAAACATCCCTGAGATGTCCCAGCTCCATCTTCTTTCCAAATTTTCTCAAAACTCCCACACACCATCACTGTTGCTGCTCAGTACCCCTAGGATATTTCTTTGCAATCTAGAATTTCTTTAGGCTTTGGGAGACAATTTGAATGGCATGTATTCCCAACAACTTCATAGAGCAATTTATAGATTCTATATGGGCATCTAGTACTTAGTTAAATGAACTCTACCTCTCTCTCCTCTCTCTCCTTTCTCTCTTTCAGCTTGGCAGTGACCTTGGCGGGGGCATTGGAGGAAGTCCGGCAGTAAGTGCCATCCATTTTTTTCATCATGGGATGGGCTGCCCCATTTGATGCCTTCCCTGCGCACACATTCTCAGACCATCCACTGCTGCTATCTAACACTGTACACCAAAACCTCTATTGCAGTATATGAAGTATAGAAAGTAGCATAGGGTTACTTAGAATCTTTGGGGTCATAAACACCACATGTGGTGTAGGGACATCTTTAGGGACTGGTGCTCTGGTGTCTACAGAGATCTTTGTCTTCCTGACATTATAGAGGTAAAGGAAATGGAACCTCCCATCTTGACTAGAGAATGCTCTTTCTCTGGTATCATGTAGAAAGAACTTGAGAGAGTCAGTTGAACTTAGATTGAGACTCTCCTTGTAAGTGAGTTAGTTGGCGGGGGGGTGGGTTATGAATGTCCATCTCCCCCAGGAGAGTTACCTACTAGATATTTATGCCTAAGTAGGAGAGTAAGACTTGCCTGGACCCAAATGGAAATGGAACTTCCTTCTTTCTACAAAAACAAAACTCCCCCTTCATTAGGATACCTGTAGGCCTTTTGCACAGAATCATGGAAGCTAAAATTGGAAACAAACAGAAAAAAATTGGATCACTGTTTTCCTGATCCTATTGTTTATTCTCTTGATAGAACTTCTAAAGAATGTGTATCTTATTAATGTTGAAAAATAGCAATGACAATTGAAAGGACAAAGAATATACTAATGCACCTTCAGTGGCTATTGTAATTATGGTGTGTTCTTATTGATTTATCAATACTATTAAAATATATGGCAGCATTTTGAGGACTATTAATCTCTTCTCCCTGATTTCCCCTCCTCCTCCTTTCTCCCCCACAGGTGGGACAGTCCTTCATCCCATCATCAGTGCCTGCAACATTTGCTCCTTCACCTACTCCTGCTGTCGTCAGTAGTGGTCTGAATGACCTATTTGAACTCTCCACAGGGATAGGCATGGCACCTGGTGGATATGTGGCTCCTAAGGCTGTAAGTAAAGCAACACTTTTTTGTGGACCCAAATTACTTAGCCTCTATCATTCCTGTTACTTCCACTGATAATAAATCCAAGTTGGGCCCTTATTTGGAGAACTTAAGAAGAAGATAAAAGGTGACGTCAAATTTAGCTATAGGAAGCGCCATAGCATCCCCCTTAACCATTTTTGTAATTAGACTTAAAAGTGAAAATACTAAATATTTTGAGTTGTATTCTCATGTTTAGAAATATTGTCTAATTTTATCAACACTACAGTCAGTCTAGTGTAATTCTGATAGAGTTCTGATTTAGGTTTGCGTGATTGGTATACTAGTCTCAGCCTTGTTTGATGTCATGCTCAAATTGAAATCTGAAAGGAGAAACTCATTGTAAATGAGTAGAGAATAGTGCTATTCAGGATAGTCTAGGCTTATAATCTTGCTTTTTGAAGGACATCATACTTGGTTACTTCCTGAATTTTATGCCTGACTCCTTGTTGGGGGGGATCCCTATGACAGAGGTAGACTAGTTGTCGCGACTTTGTATGCAAAGCTGTTGTATAGGGTAACAAAAAATTAGATTTAAAACTTAGCCGTGATGTTTTGGCACAACTCAGTAGCTTTTCTGTAAGATTATTATGTTGGATATTATTGGATGCTATATTGGGTATTATTTATCTATATTATATGTATTATAATATATATATTTATTACCAAGCCCCCACAGACTTTAAATTATTGATCAAAAAATTTAATGTACTTTTTTACTAGCATTAAAGTAATACATGCAAATTATAAATTTAAATAGAAATACAAGATGAAAAAGTAAGTCTTCCTCTATCCCTACTATTAACTTTCAGAAAAGATCATGCATATACTCATATATATGTATCCTTTAAAAATGCTATGTCAGTGAATATACTGTTTTCCATCTTGTTTTTTCTCTATCAGACTTTTTTAGTTCTTTTCTATAATTTTTTTGGAGGCCACATTGGTTTGTAACATCGTATATAGAGATATAGGATCACACTCTTTAGGGTATATTTCCATGTCATATCCATCACCAAGGGATCCACAGTCCTCCACCTTAGTCCATTGCACCCCCTCCCAACTTTGCTCTGCCCTTTATCCCTCCCACTCAGGTAAACTCTGTTCTACAGTCATATTGCTAGAGTTTGTCATTGGTTTGGTTTTGTCTCACCCTTTCTTTTGTTTCTCTGTGTTCCACATATAAGCAAAAGCAGCCAGTACTTTGTCTTTCCGCTTCTGATTTATTTCCTTTAGCATTATCCCCTCCACTTCTAGCCATGCTGTTGCAAATGGCAAATCTGCCTTTTTTATAGCTGAACAGTATTCCACTGTGTGTGTGCTAATGTTAATTTAAAAATTAAATATACTACTGAACTATGCCAGGAAATTTGTGTGCTCTTTTGACCACTTACAACACCACAAATTCCTAATCCACTTGTCTGTCTTTGAGCACTTAGGTTGTTGCCATAACTTGGCTATTATAAATAGTGCTACAGTAAACATTGGAGTACATATATCCCTTCAAATTTTTGCTTACTATGGGTAGATGTCTAAGAGTGGAATTGCAGAATCATATGGTATATCTATTTTTAATATTTTAAGAAACCACCATACTGATTCCCGTAGGGGCTGGACTAGTCTGCATTCATACCAATACTGTGAATCCACATCCTTGCCAAAATTTACTTCTCCGTCCTTTTTGATATGGGCCATCCTCACAGGTGTGAGTTGTCTACCACGTTTTTTTGAAAAATGGCCATATCCACAACTTATTTAGCCATTCTCCTGTTAGTAGACATTTTGCTTACTCTTTTGATCCTCCTCCCCCACCCCCCAATATTTTCTTGTTGTTATGAGGTACAGTAAACAACACTTGTGTGTGTATATATGCTAACATATTTTTACAAGGTATTTATAGGATAAAAATGCAATTTGTTTTATCATTAAACATTTTTAAATTAACATTATCAGTGTTATCCTCCCTCCGAATGATGACATCAGATTACATTCCTAACACCAGAATATGAGTTTCAGATAACTTAATTCTTCTTCTATTTGTATAGACTTTTTGAATTTTTGACCCTCTCATAGATGAAAGATAGTATCTTGTCTTTGAGTTCATTTCCTTTCTTCCTTTCTCATTTTTTTCTTCAGTGTGGTTGAGATCCCAGGTTATTTTACCACCCTTTGGTTCTTTGGTATTATGTTACAGGCTCTTTAGTATTCTGTCTTAAGTGGTCAGAATAGTACACAAATTTCCAGATTTTTTTTTAATATATTTATGAAATATTTATTTATTTATTAATACAAGCACTGGGTATAGTCAGAAGCGCGGGAGGGTGAGAGAACTCACCAAAGCCAGAGCGGGGAGCAGAACAGGCAGAGGGACCGAAGTACACTGCTGAGGGTAGCAGCGGGCGGCAGGAGAGGTCTGCGCGCCATGCAGGACCCTCCTCCGGTGGCCGGGGAGCAGCCGGGGATCGAACCGGCACTGTAGAGGTTGTGGGCAGCTTCGCAACCCAGCGCTCAACCACTGCGCCACCGGGGAGGCCCCAGATTTTTTTTTTTTTAACCTGGAGTATCACAAATTCTAGAACCAAGGATAGGTAATACATGAATTATATTTAGAGAGAATAGGCATTCAGATTATTTAAGCAATATATTAGTTTTTACTATTTCAAGAAACTACAGCAGAGGCTATTAGTTATGGTAGTAGTAACTAGTACTGGTTTTGGTAATGAGAAAAAAAAAATGTTTAAATTCCATCACACATCACAATCAGAGTAAATTTTAAGACCCAAATGTAAAAAATGTGCCTATAACATGTATTGGAAGAAACATAAATAACAACTCTAATTTCTAGGAACGAGGAAACCTAATCTAACCATCTCTTAGAATTCAAAAGCAATAAAAATTATTGATAAATCTGACTAGAAGTAAAATGTATTGCTTATCAAAACAGCTCAAGAAAAATTATTTAAAAAGAAACAAAACACCAAAGAAAGTAAAAGGACAAATGGCACATATCTCAGAGGGCTGATACACCTGATACATGAAGAGCTCCTAAAATACTTCAAAACCACAATAACACAATGTAGAATACCAGCAGAGGAAATGAGCAGTTGATAGAATAAGAAATGATAGCAGCCTTCAAACATCTGCAAAAATGCTTAACTTCACTCAAAATACAAAAATACAAACTAAAGACTACACTGAGATGCCTCTAGTTGTTTTATCAGTTCTAAAAAATCCAGAATGTTAACAGTATATTTATTAGGAAAGAGGATCTCTCACACATTCCTGATGAGAATATAAAATGGTACATTCCCTACTTGGGAATGGTAAAATTTAGCAAGATTACATACATCATTTTGTCCTTTATCCCTGTAGCACCACTCATTTCAAAACTACATTGACAAAGATATGAAATGGCATGTGTAAAGGTTAATCATTGAGGCACACAAGCTAAAGATTGAAAACAAAGCAATGCCATTTCATAGAGGACTGATTGAATAAACTGTGACATAACTACCCAGTAGAATAGTAGGCAGGTATAAAAAGAAATTTTTTAAAAATCATCAAAGATTATAAACATACTATTTTTACTAGTAGATTCAGTTATATTCCTTTAAGGCTATACCAGTCTACTAAGAAAAAACTACATTATAGACATTAGAGTTTCTCTCTTCCTCAATATATATGTGAGTTTGATAGTTATACTCAAAAGCAATAAAATGACAAAATAGAACACAAGTGGAGGAGAAGTCAGGGTTACCTATAGACTGTTTTTTTTTTTTCCTGTGGTTAGTTGCTTGGTTGGTTGGTTTTTAAATAATTGAGAATGATCTTAAAGTTCAGAAACTATGACATTATCCTAAGCCCTTTTGCATCTGACTTGATATTTATGGTATAAAAATCTCCATAATTGCCTAAGGAAGTGAAATATTCATTTCATCTTTCTTTATTCAAAAACAAATAGCATCGAGATAAATCCTGTCTGGTTTCATTGGACTTTATACTGTGTTTCAGGTCTGGCTGCCTGCAGTAAAGGCTAAAGGCTTGGAGATTTCAGGAACATTTACTCACCGCCAAGGACACATATATATGGAAATGAACTTCACCAACAAAGCTCTGCAGCACATGACAGACTTCGCAATTCAGTTTAACAAGAATAGGTAAGAAATCTTGATTCTGAAACAACGTTGTATCTGTGTCCAACAAGAGAATATCCCATTTAACAATGCGTAAAAACTCATGTTGACAGATTCTGAATGTAAAGTGAACCCTGGCGCCTGCATGTCTATTCAGGTGCCAGCTTCAACTATGAAGGCCCTAGGGAATTTTTTTTGAAACTCATTCATGTAAAATGAGGAAACCAAAACTTATTTATTGCCTTCTTAAAGAGTTCTAGGACTAGAATATTTTTACTAAAACAGTAAAGCAGTTTTTCTAAAAGCTTTCAATTGAAATCCACTTATTCAACAAATAAATTGTTCAGCATGTGTGTGGCAGTCATTTCTAAGTATTGAAATAATGAACCAAACAAATGTGTGTCCAAACTTAACATTTGAGGGGTGGGAGGGTAGGACATGGGGGATACAAATGTACTTTGATGTAAAATATGGAAAGTAGTATATCTGCATGGTCATAAAAGTACAAGATTTTCACACTTGCTTCTAACAAAATAGTAATTGGATTTCTAAAGCGAATTTAATAAAACTTGCCAATGGCAGTAGAAATCACGTTAGAGAATAGAAAGTCTGTGTTTCTGGCAAAAACAGTTATATATCCCCAGCCACTCTGAGGGGAACTAATCACTTTACTGGCCAAATGCTATTGGGTTATAATCTGTTATAATAAAGGCAGTCTGCATAGTCTACTTTCACACTTTCATTTCTTTTTTGTCTTTTTTTGTTTTAAGTAGCATGATACTTAGAAATGTTTATATTTTATTCTGATAATTATACTTACTCCTTTATAAAATTCCCTCAGACCCTATTTTCTATAGAGAGTCTGTTGATTTCCTACTGTATTTTCTCCCCTCCCCATTTTATTGCCAAAAGTACTTTCTTAAGATTTACTTTTGTACTCTAAATTTTAGTTTGTTTAACCTTCAAATTCTTGATTTGTTCTTGGTCTCCAGCTATGACACATGAGTCTGGGAAATTACTCTATTTACTACGCACTTGTTCCCTTTCCTCTCATTTTTCTAAAGTGTGTTATTTCTTCATTTTACTTTATTACTATCTTTGTTTTGTCTTGAATTTGTGCTTACTGCAGTCCTTTTATTTAAGTTTCCACTGTCATTTTTTTGGGGTGTCTTTTAGTAGGTTCCTCAAAAAGGACTTATTTGAACAACAATCCTTGAATTCTTACATGATCAAAACTGTGACCTTTATAGTTGGCGATTATTGACTCAAATGCTTTAAGCATTTTACTCCAGTATCTTTCATCACTAAATGTTCTTGTGAAAAAGTCAGCTGCCAGCCTGATTCTCCCCCATACAAGTGGGATGTCCGGCTGCCCGAAGCTTTGAAGTCCAGTGATTTTATTTAGGATATTCCCCGATATTCCCATGTACCATTCTTGGTCATGGTTTCTTAGACTAAGAAGTGCCGTTTCACAATGTACACTGAAGTTTTTTATTTCAGGAAAGTTTTCAGGGCTTATATGTTGAAATATTCGCATTGTTCCGGGGGTTAGATTTTCTTCTTTGGAAAATTATGACCCTTCTTTGATATGTATATAAATGTACATATACATACAAACAATTTTTCTAAATTTTTTAATCTATAATATTACAACATATATCATGATTTTTTTACCCATAACCATGACCCTATTAAACCAGAAACTGGGCCTTCCCTGGTGGTGCAGGTGGTTGAGCGCCACTCTGTGAAGCTGTCCACAGCCTCTGCAGCGCCAGTTCAATCCTGGCTGGCTGGCAAGGGTCCCACATGGTGTGGCAGACCTCTCCTGTCTCACTCGCTGCTCCCCTCAGTAGTGTGTTTTGTCAGTCTGCCTGTTCTGTTCCCCGCTGTGTCTCTGGTGAATCCTCTCACCCTCCCGCGAATCTGGCCTGTACCCCAGTTCTTGTATAAATAAATAAATAAATAAATCTTAAAAAAAATTTAAAAAAATAAACCAGAAACTTGTTCAATATAATAAAATTATCTTAATGTCATTAAACATCCAATCAGTGCATTTTCGCAATTGTCTGATGATTTTGTACAGTTTGTTTTGTCTGAACAGGGTCCTATTAAGGTCCCCATGTATTACAGTTGTTTGATGAATATCTTACATCTCTTTTAAACTGTGCATTCCTCCTCATTCCCTCTCTTTTTTCCTTGAAATTTATCTGCAGAAGAAATTGGTGAGCTAAAGGAAAATCTATTAAAAAAAGATACGGGTTAAATCTGTCCCTCTAGTCGCATGATAAACATTAGAAACGTTCAGAATCAGAGCACTAGTCAAAGCATTCATGCTTAGGAATGTTTTCTCCTTTCTCAAATCCATCTAATAGAGAAGAAATTATCTTATAACCATTGTTAAAGCAAATTAGAATTTGGCCAAAATGTGGCTAAATCCTGGTTCCTGATTAACATCCGGTATTTCTTCATCCTCTCTCCTAGCTTTGGTGTCATCCCCAGCACTCCTTTGGCCATCCATACCCCACTGATGCCAAACCAGAGCATTGATGTCTCCCTGCCTCTCAATACCTTGGGCCCTGTCATGAAGATGGAACCTCTGAATAACTTGCAGGTTAGGGTTTATTTCAGTCAGACTACAAGTGGGTATCTTGGCGATTTTTATTTCATTTATATGTAAAATAACCCTCTCTCTTCCTAATACTGGATTTGGTCATGGAGTAGACTTTGAAAATAGCTCTGTGAAGGACTTTTATTTTTTATTTAAGGAAAAAAACAAGTCACGTGGAAGCATAGAAAATTATCATTTTACTCAATATTTAGAAACTTTTAAAGACCTTTTTTTACAAACTATTTTCCAAAGACTTTCATCATGAATTTGTCATTTATATAAAGATAAATTTCAGTAGAGATTTAGTTGATGTTATCTTTGAACACAATTATAAATAGTTAGGATATCTGGTTTTAAATACCCCTATTAATACTTATCTATGATAAGTGTAGCAGCATCTTAGAAAAACTAAGAATAATTTTATCAAGTCTATAAGAGGCTCTTTAAAATACAATATTTTTTAGGATACTTAAGGTAGTAGCTTAGAGTTTCATTTACTTTTTATTTTTTTTTTTTAAAGATTTATTTATTTATGCATACAAGAGCTGGGTACAGGCCAGAGATGAGGGGCAGTGAGAGAATCCATCAGAGACAGAGTGGGGAACAGAACAGGAAGATTGGCCAAAATATACTGCTGCCGAGGGGAGCAGTGAGTGAGACAGGAGGGGTCTGCCTGCCTTGTGGATTTCTCCCTGGCCAGCCGGGGATTGAACTCATGCTGCAGAGGCTTCAGATTGCTTCATAGTGTGGTGCTTAACCCCTTGCGCCACCAGGGAGGCCCTTCATTTACTTTTTATATGTTTCTAATTTCTCTTTGAAATTAAGCCTTCTGGGGTTCAGGCAACATGAAGTCAGAGTAGTAAGTTTGCAAGCTAAAGCTGTAGCAGCCCTAGAGGCATATTAATATAGATACAAGCTCTAGAAGTTGGATATTTTAATGCTTTCATTAAACATAAATGACCTTGGGCCAAACCTGAAATGGGAAGCTAGAAATAATCCCTGAATAAAGCTGAGACCTAGGAAGGGCAGCTCCCTAGAAAAGCATCTTCACTATCTCAGGCAATTGATGAGAAAGTTTTATCTCTGACCAGGATTCTTTTTGTTTTTTTTTTTTTTTAAAGATTCATTTTATTTATGCACATAAAACCTGGGATGTAGGCCAGAGGTGCAGGGGTTGAGAGGATTCACCAGAGACAGGCAGATCTACTGAAATACACTGCAGTAGCAGGCGAGACAGGAGAAGTCTGCTGTGCTATGTGGGTTAGCTTCCTGGCTGGGGCTCAAACTCATGCCACAGAGGCTGGTGATAGCTTGATAGTTCTGAGATGTTAACCCCTGCACCAACAGGGAGGCCCTCACCAGGATTCTTGGTGAGAAATCCAACACCCAATATATGTACCATATTTGGCTATATAGTCTAAATTTATACTAGCCTTTGTAGGTGCCAGATTTATTGCCAAACCAATAGATTAATGTAAAATTGGTGCAGGACTGGGAACCAGATGTAGAAACAAATGCAGAGCAGCTTTTATGCAACAGTTCTAAATTTGAGGAACATTAGGACTCCCGACTGAAAAGAAAATCCACTGAAAGTAAATTCATAATTTAACCCAAAAAAAGGGAGATAGGGAAAGATGTGCTGTAAAGAACAGTCAGAAGACACAGCAAAGAGGATTGGTATTCTCCTTCTTGAATTTGAAATGATAGAATAGTCTGAATGACATTATAAAATATATTTGAAATAATTAAAGAAAAATATCAACTGTTAACTTTCCAGTTAAGACACCAGAGGTCCCAGGGGCCTCCCCGGTGGCACAAGGGGTTAAGCACCACACTATGAAACAATCCGCAGCCTCTGCAGCACAAGTTTGATCCCTGGCTGGCCAGGGAGCAACCCACATGGCGAAACAGATCTCTCCTGTCTCGCCCTCTGCTACACTCAGCAGTGTGTTTCAGTCAGTCTGCCTGTTCTGCTCCCCACTCTTTCTCTGGTGAATCCACTCACCCCCTGCATCGCTGGCCTGTACCCCAGCTCTTGTATGCATAAATAAATAAATCTTAAAAAACAAAAAGACACCTGGGGTCCATTACTCAATTTGCTGGCAATACCAGTGTGAGATACCAGTACTTATGGGGCGCCATCACCAGGAAAATTACTTAGAGTTAAAGCTAATACTCTTCAGTAGTTTAAATACCAGTGTACAAGCCTGTTTGCCAGTTCACTACCTTTTTGTCACTAGTTGACTGCCTTTTTTTTAACAAAGGGTGTAATGATTTAGAGTGAAGATGAATGAGTCACAATATAACTTGGCTCAGACTTGAGGAATAAAACAAGGATTACTGTGCAGTTGGAATTGGCTGTTACTATGATGAAAGTATTGTGTTAAAGGGCTTTTGCAGTACAGAATCCTGAAGTAAGTATGTAAGTAACCCAAATCTACATCTGTTCCCTTTTCACTGAAATCTAATCTCCTGTTGACTTAAAGAGCCTCAAGCCTAATATTTGAGGACAGTCAGCATCACTGCAGGAAATGCTTTACTTCAGAAATAGGAAAGGGAATTTGGGTCACAGAAGCCAGGGCAAATTTTCTGCTCTTAAAACAAAGAGGCAGTAGTAAGTAAATGAATGAATGTTTACTTCCCTGTTTGCATTTCCATTTCATATTCAATGAAATGAGCATCCTAGAGAGGAACCTTCATGATAGAAGTGGAATCTTAGCCAAACTCCTCCCTCAAAAATACCTTCATGGTATTAAAACTAGTAAGTTTTTGTCTTTACAAACCTGACATTATAAAAAGTAAAAATTTTTTTCATCTATATAGTCAACTACTATTTTGCCCCTCAGATTCTCTTAGTTCAGATATCATAATTATGGATGGCTATTTTCTCATTAAGTGGCATTTTCAAATGGAGAAAATAAGGAAAAAACTTGAAAAGAGAAAACTTTTTTCCCCCATGAGCACCTCTGTTTAATGTCTGCTAGTAGAAATAGAAACTGATAGCTAGCTAAAGATGGGTAGGTTACTTTAGATTTCAACTATATTCTTCCTTGTCCCAGGATGAACAAAAAGAATCAGTTCTTAACTCCAACAAGCTTAGATCATGTTGCTCTAGATAGGGCCAAGTAAAGATTGATTGCCATTTAAATATTATATTTGCATTGTATTCAGATTCAAGAGCTCATGTAGGAAAAAAGTACTTTTTTAGTACTCTAGACTATAAAATCAGGAATGAAACAATGTTTGAGGGTTGAAGACATGGATTTTTCAATAAAGTATAAAATAGATTATACCTTAGAGAATAGATTTGAACCTAGAACAAATTGTGTACTGATACTGGTTGTAAAAAGCCTTTGTGACTCCAGCTTATAATTATTACACAAAGTAAAGTTTAGCTTGCCTTCGTTGAGAACCTCTCGAAATTATTTATATCATATAATTATATTCTTTAAAGAGAGAATTGATTCCATCTATTGAAATAAAGCAAAAACCTTAAAAAATGGCTAAATGAATTATCTCCAGCAGTGCTTCCTCTGACTCTGACATCTTGCTTTTCATCTGTGTTAATTACTTAGGAATATTTTCCCAATATACTTCTTCAAACTTAATACCTAAGTGACTGCTACTTCAAGACAGTGTCTGCAGAAAGGCAAAAGGATCATGACATGTGCTCATCCTTCTCTTTGCACAGATGCTATAGAGTTCTCACAGCTACTTACTGTCCTTTTTCACTGGACTGTAAATTCCTAGGAGAACACTAATAATGTTCATTCAAGTTTTAACTTTATCAGGATTATAAAAATATAGTTTAAACATTCAATTAGTTCTACAGTTAGTTAAGAAAAACCTACTCCCTGGTCTCTCCCCAACATGGCTCCCAATTTCTCCTTCCATGGAGGCAATCTCTCTTGTCTCTTTTAGTAGATACTTTTGAAATTTACCTCTGTGTCTTTTAATATCATGTTTATATTGCGACTTCTATTCTTTCCATTTTAGATATTTTACATTTCCCCACTCACTACCCTGGCGTACATGTATACTTTCCATCCTCCTATTTTCCTGATAGAGCTATCTTAGAATTTGTTTTAATCAGTATTCAGTGTTTATATTATCATGCCTGTTTATATTCTTCAAAACTGAGCTATAAAAGTGGTCATTTTTTCCCATAACATTTTTCTACAGTTTTCTATATTTTTAGCTGTAATTCAATCCCAAATTCTTCTGCTCTTAGAAAAGCATTAAAAATAGGATACATAATTTGTTGGAATAGACCTATAAAAGTTAATTAAATCCTGTTGCTGATGATCTTGTTTTAACATAAAGAGAAAAGCTAATTGAAGTAAAATATAATTAATATAACAACTGGATAACATGTATATGCTAGCTTATCCATATTTCCAGTTACCAGATGCTACAAAATTGCATTTTCACTCACCTACAGTGAAGAAGACCTGTAGGTTCATGAACTGTAATTTATAACACAGCATCCCTAGGGAATGAACCACTGGTGCTTTGTCATGAGAAGTTGCCAAGCTACCACATTTCATCTAAACTTGGTAGTAGAGTCCTTAAATTTTTTCTTGTACTCTAAAAGAAAATAAAGATGACCTATTGATCAAAACAAAACCAAATAAAATTTTAAATTAAAGATTTCATTTCCTGAGTTGTCTTAGCCACATTTCAAAATGCACATATTGGTGGTGGTTACTAGATTGAACAGTGCAGAAGCAGAACTGCCATCATTGTGGAAAGTTGTGTTGAATAGTGCTGATCTCGGGGCTCCCCTTCTTTTTCTTTTATCTTTGTTTTTTAGCAATTTTACTATTACATGACTAGGTACTTTTTTTCTAGCTCGGGGTTCTCTGGGCTTCTCGAATTTGTAAGTTAATAGTTTTGCCCAAATTTGGTAACCTTCGGCCATTGCTGCTTCAAATGCTTTTTGCCCATTATCTCCCTTCTCTCCTTCTGGAATCACAGTTACACATATGTGAGACTACTCAGTA